ACGATATATATATACACACAACACCACAACACACGTATATATATAATATACTACACACACACACATGTAACACACACACATGTATACACACACACGTATATACCACACACACATATATACATATATATACGTACACACACACACACACACACACACACACACACACACACACACACACACACACACACACACGTATGCACACACACACGTATGTATACACGTACGCACACACACACGTATGTATACACGTACGCCCACACACATGTATGTATACACGTACGCACACACACACGTATGCACACCATTGTATGTATACACGTACCACACACATGTATACACACGCACGCACACACACGCATGTATACACGTACGCACACACACACACTATGTATACACGTACGCTCACACACACATATGTATACACGTACGCGCGCGCACACACGTATGTATACACACGCCACACACACACACGTATGTATACACGTACCACACACACACGTATGTATACACGTACGCACGTATATACACGTACGCACACACACACGTATGTATACACGTACGCACACACACACACGTATGTATACATGTACGCACAACACACACACGTATGTATATACACGTACACACACGCACGTACACAAACACACGTATGTATACACGTACCACACACACACACGTATGTATACACGTACGCACACACACCACACGTATGTATACACGTACGCACACACACACACGTATGTATACACGTACGCACACACACACGTATGTATACACGTACGCACACACACACGTATGTATACACGTACGCACACACACACACGTATGTATACACGTACGCACACACACACGTATGTATACACACGCACACACACACACGTATGTATACACGTACGCACACACACACACGTATGTATAAACGTACGCACACACACACATGTAGTATACACGTACGCGCACACACACACGCATGTATACACGTACGCACACACACACACACACACACTATGTATACACGTACGCACACACACACACGTATGTATACACGTACGCGCGCGCACACACACGTATGTATACACGTACGCGCGCGCGCGCACACGTATGTATACACGTACGCGCGCGCGCGCACACGTATGTATACACGTACGCGCGCGCGCGCGCACGTATGTATACACGTACGCGCGCGCGCGCGCACGTATGTATACACGTACGCGCGCGCGCGCACACGTATGTATACACGTACGCGCGCGCACACGTATGTATGCACGTACGCACACACACATACATATATGCACACTTATGTACACACACACACACACACACACACGCGTATATGCATGTATACGTACACTCACAAGTATATGTACACGTACACACGCATACTGTACACACGTATATAAACATTATACACACTTTTGTATATGTATACATATATATGTATACATACACAAACACACATGTATATATATGCATACACACGTATATAAGCATACACATACATAACGCATATAAATATACACATATACATACACACACATACAGATACAAATTTACACACACAGATACAAACATACACATACAGATGCAAATATACACATACATATACAAATACAGTGGAGAGGAGCATCATAGAAGTGGAGAAGGATTTTGATGTGGAAAAGTGGAAGCCATGGTCAGGGGACCAGGAAGAGGTCAAAGCTATTGCAGATGGATTTGTCGACGTAGAGGTGTTATAGAAGGGTCGACGATAAAATCACAAAAGAGAGGTGTTATAGAAGGGTCGACGATAAAATCACAAAAGAGAGGTGTTATAGAAGGGTCGACGATAAAATCTACACAAAGCGAGGATGCCAAGTGGTAGAGCCGATATTAAACCATATTCGGCTATAAGGAATAGTATGGGGCTGAGTACACTTCCTTGCGGGATGCCTTCATATTGAGGAAAGGAAGTTTAAGAGGAAAATTTACCTCGGATGGGACAATTAGTTAGGAACGCTCGTATGCCAAGAGGATAGCTGCTGTAGAATGTAGGATCTCCATGTGGTGTTACATGCTTTTTCGTGGGCAAAGAAAACGGCTAGGATTGAGTTATGGTTTGCAAAGGAAGGGATGTAATTTTCGAAATGTACAAGTGGATCAAGTTGAGCTTCGAGCACAAAGGAGTCCAAACTTGACAAGATGAGAGGAGATGTAGGATTCAAAATACACACTTAACAACTCTCTCTAACAATTTGCACAAACAGCTAGGGCTATGGATCGGTAGACTTGAGGGAGGGTACCGGATTTATTAGGTGTGAGGAAAGATAGAATAAGTGCTTCAAGCCAGTCAGGAGAAGAGTTTCCAGTTGTCCAAATATTGTTGAAGATGGAGGGAAGGATAAGGAAGAAGGTGGAAGATGTCATAGTATAAGATGATAATGTTTGCCCTCAGGACCTTCGCTCAGTCGAGAAAGAAGTTTCAAAGTCATTAAGTCAACAGGAAGAGAATGGGAAAAGTAAATTGAAAAAATGTGATCCAACGGCAAAGGCATAAAGCAAATAATAGTTCAAAGGACAGTAGTTTGGAAAGGGATATATATATATATATATATATATATATATATATATATATATATATATATTATATATATATATATATATATATATAGATATTTATATACATATATATGGACATAGAGGAGGACGAGTGATGTGGTGAGAGCTAGAGGAGATTGATAGTGAGGGGACGATACAAAATGATCATTTGGCGATTGCTACTAGAGGATATGTTAGAGAGATAATGGATGGGTTATAGGAAGATGTGAGATGACGAAGATCAGGTCTGTAAGGACGAAAGCCTCGAATATTCCACTGTAGATTGTAGAGCAAGCAGTGGGTGATAAGGGTGGAGGTGGTTGTCTGAGTAGTAGGAGAAGGGATATCTGGGGGTTGAGCTAGGGGTTAGGGGTAGGTGAAGGAGTGGTATCAGGCAGTTCATCAGGGAAGGTAGGATCTGGGGAGGGTATTTGTGACAAAAGGGATTCAGGTGTGTATCCGGGAAGAAGTGAAAGGGATAGTGGGGAAAGACAGTGTTTGGTTTAGATGGAGGAGAGAATGAAGTATGTTGGGGAGGAGGAGGGGAAGACAGACGTCGCCAGTCACATCGATTGAAGACGGAGTGGGGGCAGAGTGAAGTGGAGGATGGGTGAGTGGAAGGAGCATTTTCTCGAGTCATGCTTTGGAAGTTTCAGATGTCCTTCAGGGTTTCTGAAGAGGAGCTGGGTGGGGAGGTTGGGAAATGGAAGGATCTTTTATGAGGAGGTGAAGAGCAGGTAAGCATTTGAGGAGAAAATGTAGTTGTAGTTGTGCATTTGGTAGGTGAAGATAGGTGTGGAACGTTTATCTTGTCTTGGTGCGATGGGTAGGGCGAGGAGAAGCAAGTATAGAGGAATTTGTGGATATTGGAGGATCTGGATTTAGAAAGGAAAAGGATTTGAGTGTGAGATAGCGGTAGAGGCGGGAAGGTGAGAAGTAGGGGGAAGATGTACTGTTGAAGATGGAGAGACGGTTTGGGTAAAGGGGAAAGAAAGAGAGCGATGGAGAGTGTTGGAGTAAGGACTGACAGGAAAATATCCTCGGTGTGCTCGTTTCCTGGCTCTCCTAGAACTGACAGCCTGGCTTCTCGTTGAGCGACGCCAAGTTTGTATCTGAGAGCTGCCACCACAGTTACAAATTTGTAGGCAAGGTAACTCCTATAAGATACATTTTGTGAACCACCACAATTGACACGTACACAACTGTGCAGGGTAATTTGGACGGTAATGACCAGTCTGGCCACATAGAGGGCAGTGAGCTGTGGAGCGACAATCAGGGTGGCCAAAACGTCAACATGTCTGACATTGACCATTTCCTTCTTTTTTATCATTCTATTGATATCTGCTTATATATCTATCAATTTCTCTATCTGTTCAATTCTATCAAGGGATTGATTGTATATCTATTAAAATTTTATCGCTACAAATATTTATATTCAATTACTTTTTAACTGTCAATAATTTGTTTTATCTGTGTCCATTTTTTTCTTATTTCTATATTTCCTATAATTTATCATTTATTTATTAATTTTTTTTTTCATCTTTCTATTATTACAGTCTATTTCTCCATCATTTTACATATCTCATATTTCCAATTACATGTATTATCAGTGATTTAAAATATATATACTTAAAACTACTGTGAATTTCTTCCTATTTTGTTTCCTTTTGTTTCTTTGAAAATGCTTATGGTTGTGTTTATTTCACTTTTAAATTATATTTTCGCAATCTAATGTTTTATTCTCCATCCTCAGCAGGTTTAACTTTTAAAATGCTTATGGTTGTGTTTATTTCACTTTTAAATTATATTTTGGGTGCGAGGATTATACTTCATTAATAAACGCTATGCTTGGTTGATCCTTTAAAAGAAATTGCAAATCAGTAATAGTAATATTGATAATATTGTTATCATCATTATTACCATAGTTTTTATCACCATTATTATTATTGTTATTTCTTGCAATCATTATTGCTTTTATGTCTTTACTTTTGTCAATTATTCTTGATTACTTAATCAATAGGATATCAATAATTACAATTCCATCATCCAGTCATTTATTAATTGTCCTAAGTAGATTAACCAAAATTATGAATATTTAAAATAGTCCATCCGCAAAGTACACTGTTAAAGAAAGAAAACCAGAACCTTTGCGTTAATTGAAAACGTAAAACTTAAGGGGATACTTCTTTCCTACGAATATAACAAACGGATTAATAGAAGGGGTTCTACCTGATTCTACTAACAATAAATATTAATCTAGATGAAATGTGGAAAATTAACAAGAGCTACTGCATTAATCACCGTAATACAAAAATACATTCTCACACAAACACACACATTCTCAACAAACAAACAAACGACACGAGCACACACACACAACACACAAAAAAACAAACACACACAAAAGCACAAAAAACCACACACAAAAATCAATCACATACACGCACAAAAACAGGCTTATTCCTGACACTCGATCTGAACCTGAAATTTTAAAAATTTTCCTGAGCGTCTGAAGAGGAGAGGCAGCATCACCAGCGATATCTTCAGCCTTTGCAACACTGGCGCCGATGGAACTTCAGGGAAGCCTTTTCACATTAGGCTTTTGGACAGCAAACGTAAACAGAACCTTCCCTGTAATATTAAGGGGAAATTATTGCAAATTAGCAACGCAACAGCCAGTTTGTAGATATGTAAATATAATGAAAATATCACAGAAGTCAGTTAATATTAATTCACAACAATATGGTATGGTGCTGGTAGAGAGAGAGAGAGAGAGAGACAGACAGACACAGACAGAGAGAGTCAGAGACAGAGTGGGAGAGAGAGAGAGAGACAGAGACAGAGAGAGAGAGACAGAGTGGGAGAGAGAGAGGCTGACAGACAAACTACAGGACAGAGACAGACACAAACAGAGATCCAGAGAGAAGGCAGACAGAGCCCGAGAAGAAACCCCAAACCACCAACCCAGCCAACGTGTCCCTCCAATCACCTGGTGTCACACCGGTGGTCGACGAGGAACTTGGTGGTCCTGGCCACATCTCCGGCGGCGTTGGTCACGAGGAACACCTGCTCGAGCCTCACGCACTCGCCCACCAACACGCAGGTGCCGAGGCGAGTCCCTGGCGTGTTGCACGGAGTACCTGGTGCGAGAATTGCATCACGATCTTGTCCATTCTGTCGCACCTTCTCTCAACCCGACATCAGTTCATACACACACACGCACACCCAGATATGTGTGTGTGTGTGTATTTTATGTATATATAAATTTTTTTCCTAATTATCATTATCATTATCTGACGACCCACTGACCATGAACTTACGACACATTATCATTATCAATATACTTATCATGATTTGTACTATTTTCTTTTCTTAAAAATACAAAAAAATAAAAACTTTTCGACATAAGACATCACTTATTCAATCCCACTTATTCAAGGGTCTGTGGCACAGAACGCGATGATGGACGGAGAAGGATACAACTATATCTTCTTTTAGATTAAGTGTTTTCACCCAAGTGAAGTGACACAATGTTCATTATAGTTAGATAGATCGATAGACCGTTTTTTCCTTCTTTTTCTTTCACCAATTTAGTCAAGCTTTATACTCTCTCTTCTTGAGGTACCTGCAGTGTAAGACCAGCCAGATAAATGTCCCAAATATGACACATTCGAAAAGTGACTAACCGCAGGAGGCCAAGGCTAAGCCGGTATTCCTCCAGATGCCGTGGCAGCACTGTTGTTGGCGGCAGCTGTCGTACTTCACACTCCCAAGGATGTAAGCCAGCCCATTGTCACTGCACGTCATGGACTCGTGGGCTGAAACATCAATTAGATATCTTTTAATGCGAGTTCAAAGCAATGTGATCCAAATCTGTCTAGTACTATAGACTGTATTTTATCAAAATCATGACAGTTGCAAATCCTTATGAAAACAATAGTACCATAGATATGTCCAGTCACATATAAACATAGCTATGGTAGGTCATAAATAGATGACTTTAAAGTCTTACCTTCAATCATTGCCCTTATGTTTTTGTTACTTCTTTCTCGGGCAATTGTGAAGGCCGTCTTTCCTGTAGAGTGAGAGATAATGTCCTTTTAAACACGTCTTTGTCATATAATCTAATCTAGAAACAAAGTCAAGGCCAAAGGCATGTTAAAGAGAGTGTGTGTGTGTGTGTTTGTGTGTATGCGTGTGCGCGCGCACATGCCACGTGTTTACTAAGCTCACTGAAAAGTGTCTACACTCAGCCTGAACACTAAAAATCATACAGATTAATGGTTAAACATGATACAGATTAAATAAGGCCATTGGATCTTGAAAATACTCTTCCGTAAAATATTGGAAAGAAGAATGGCATACAAATATTTAGACTCCGCTAGGGGATAAGAGGCACCCAACCCCATCTTTAGCCAACAGTTGCCTTCACATTTTGCTCAACATCTCAAAGCTATACACCATTGGAAAAAAAAATCTGGCGCCAACTTAGATGCAAGGGAAGTGTAACCACTAACTATCGCTGGAAGTGATCACTGGTGTTATAGGGTACAGGGATAAGAAACGTTAGATAAACATTTACCCTTTTACAGACCTTTTGTATTTCTGACCCCCCCCCAATCCCTTGCCCGTTGTTGTCGTGGGGGGGGGGGTAGGAGACGGAGACTGAGACTCAAAGCAGGGATCTCCCCCGCCTAAGGCCTAGGCCCTCGACTCAACTAATTTTGCATGGCCTTTTCTCCCTCCAGCTTTGTTTCCATCCCTTCTCCAATCCATTCTACTATCTACTTTCTCAGATGTAAGAGCCGTGCTGAAAGGATGACAGGCTGACCTTTGCCAGTCCTGAATGGCCTGAGGGAACCATGGGCACAGTATTCCCCTGATTTAGTTGTCTAGCCTTTACCCCCTTAGGGGGCACTAAGGGGGTGGACTGTTTATTTCCCTTTACATAATCAAGGCTTCCCATGGCCAGTAACACCCATATTAGAGGCAATGAGTCTTGTCCCTTCATCAAATAGCCCCACCAATTCAGATTCTACCGGCTCCCGACCCCAGGCTCTCCTTTGACCACGACTCTGAACACTGAAACTACTACCCACACCTCAGTACCTCAGTGCTTACTAGTGCATTACCCACCCAACCCGAGACTCAATCTACAGAAGACATTCCTACCCTCCCAACTTCCTCAACTTCATCACCTCTACCCCGACAGCCTTCTTCATCAAACACCCCAACCTCCCTTATTACTACCTTACAGCCTTATTCTCTATCTCTCCGTAATACCACCCCCCCTCAATAACGCTCCCTCTTCCACACGTCCCCGCCCTTCTATCACCACCAACGCTACATATATCTTAAATACTCTATTTAGCCCAGCTAAATGGGACCGATTTTTCGTGATCCCCCTCCCCCTACAGCTCCTTACTCAGGCAACGCTCTAGGATTTTCATCAAGATGGACTGGTTTTTACTGTGTAAAAACACCTTGAACGAGGGATTGGTATACGGTGCTCTTCGGTTTCACCAAGTTAACTGCTCCCTAAGACCATAGTTTCACTACATTCTCTGGCCCCTACGATTGTTTTTTCTCTTTCACAGTCCCGAAGGATATGGTTTCACGGTTTTAACCTGCTTCCAATGACCATGGTCTCACTGTTTCCTAGTCCCTAAGGATGTTCCTCAGTTCTTACGTTCCCTTGTCTTTAAAGTAGCAGTTTTACTGTTCCCTGGTCCCTCAGACTTCGGTTAGGCCACGTTCGCTCTCTCCAAGACCATGGTTTCACTGTTTCTAAGTCCCTAACACTGTAGTTTCACTGTGTTCCCTAGTCCCTACGACTGTGGCTTCATGTTGTTCCTGGTTCCTAAATCTGGTTTCACTGAAACCGTAGTTTAAATAACGTTCTCTTGTACCTGAGGCTGCAGTGTCGCCAAGTGCCTTGGCCCCTAAAAAAGCAATTTCACTATATTTTTGGGTCGCTGAAGTCGCCCAAAATCCAAGGATAAGTAACTTCGCTGTTGATCTTTACTCACGGTTGATGTTCTCGAGGCTCATGTCCGGGCAGTGTTGCAGCAGGACCTCCACCATGGCCTCCTGACCCTGTTTGATGGCCTCGATGAGCACCGTGTCACCTGAGGAGAGATGGCAATTAGGGAAAGATTTTATAGTTCAGTTAAATCTTTCGTGGATTAATCATACATGTGTGTGAGTATGCGATTTCAAGTATTTTCAAATATATACTCTCTCTCTCTCTCTAAACACACGCTATATTAATGCACCAGGCACTGTGCCAATGCAACATACAGGATATCCAATTAATGAGTATATTACCAATGCTATATACGCTATGCCAGTGTAATAGACATCTACACTCTATCAATCCAATGCACAGTATATCAACACTATACCAATGCAATAGACAACATTGCAATACACACACCACCCACCCACCACTCACTAAACCCATATAACGTACCAGTGCAAAACACAGTAACCACTGCAACAAATACCATTTCATTTCGACACTAACAATTCCCTATGCAACAGGTATCATCCCAGTGCAGCCTACACGTTATCCAACTGCAACAAACATAACCTTCATGCAATTTTTTAAAATTTTGAATTTGAGTGTTAGCTCATGGTAAGCCCGGGTTAAGGTGTAGCCACCCGGTAGG